CGGAAAGAATCCCAAACAGCAAACCCTCTAAACTCAGCTTGGGATGTTTTGGGATCTGTGATAGTCTGCAGCTCCCCTAGGAGCCAGAGACACATTCTTGGAGTGGTCACTCTGAAAATGATCTTCTGCACACCCCGAGAGATCTTCACTTTCCTACTCACCCTAGGAGAATAAGGGAGAGGCACAAGTACATCCCATCAAAACCAGAAAATGGGTAAAAGAATATTTTTAGAGCATTGGACTAGCATATAGAACTATTTTCCTATTTAAAAAAACAGCATCCAGAAGGGTCAGGCATCGTCGCTAACCTGTGCTGCCCCAATAAAATCCAACAGTTTGCCGTTGCAAACACTACTCAGGATCACTTTATTTTATGAAGTCCCTGATGTACTTTCAAGCTACTCTTCACTTAAAATTTTATTAGAAGATTTGAAATTTCTAAAAGCATTTTCAAGGCAAAAAAATCCTGCCAAGTCCTCACTCCCCACAGGAGCAAGCACCAGAAACATTATTTTGTTTTAAAATCATTATCCCGGGCGAACACTAAAAGCCAGGTGCAGGGAGGATCATGCAACAGCTATCGACCATTTCTATCAACTCAAAAAGAAAGGGCACAAAAAGAAACTTTCTTGTGGGTTTCTGAGTCACTTTTGTTTCTTTACATTCAAACCTGTGGACGCTTGGATGGGTGGGAGGGAGATGGTGTTTCTTGGAAGCTAAATCACTGGTTGTTGTCAGTTGAAGAGCTGAGGTTTAACGGGATCTCCCCTTGGACAGCCACAGAGGACAGGTAGGAAGTCATATTTTCAGATGGAACATAAAGTGATGAACTTTCAGGCAAGCTGATGAGGTCGTTTCCAAAGATTGACTGACGATCAACGAGGAACTGCTGGGCACTTTCAAGAATGACATCTGTCCCTAGGAATGCAAAGGACAACAGAAAACTTAGTTTCTGGAAGGCAAGTTACCAGACTTCATGTATGTAGAGCTGAAAACAGGCAAATTCCCACTGCGACAGGACGTGAGGGACCTCACTCCAGGCAAAAAAAAAAAAAATGCTTGGAAACACCTGAGTCAAACTTGGGTTCACTCAAAAGCCCATTAAAATCGGTGGAAATCTCTGCAGGTTGCCAGGCTGGGTTCTGCCTGAATCGTGAGGTGCCTCACAAGAAGTGAAAGAGGGACGGCCAAATGGCTGGAGACACTGAGAAGTGGGTAAGAGTAACTTCTCCTTCACTCGAGAACTGGTTTTCCTCAGCTTTGTAGAAAGAGACATCTGCCAATTGCCCTGTTATTCCAGCATCACGCCACTGCGTGGACCAGAAAGGCTTTGCTAACAGGGGGTGCTCCTCTTGTGCAGTTCAGCCCCAGCCTGCAGAAGAATCCTCTCCAGCGCAGCTGGGCTTTTGAGGCCTTCGATGCTCATGCAAGATGCTGAGCTTCAGGTGGAGACTGGAAGTCCTTGAACTACACACAATACATCAAAACTCTGAGGTGGGGTCAGGTGGCTACAGCACCAAACTAAGGCTCACAAAAGCTTCTTTTTCAGGTCTAGCCCAGTGAATACACATGAAAATAATATATCACTATTCCAAGACCAGGAAAAAACTTCTAGATTCATATCTAAGGTCCATATCAGAGTCAGCAAAGGGAAGAAGATCAGCTGGACCTTTCCCTTGAGGTCTGGTAAAAGGTCTGGAGAAACTGAGACATAACCTTTGCCTCTGACTGCCAGCAGCTACCAGGTCACTTCCTCTGCAGCAGGAACGAGAGGAAACCCAAGACTCGGACAGCTCTTACCACCCCTACTTCACTTAGATCACCACATTGCTCTTAGGTGGCAATGAACAGGCAGAGAAAACAGTGGAGACACCGATAGACACGATGTGGACCCAAGCAGGAGCAGAGGCAGTTCCGTTACATTTAAACCTCAGTTTATCCCCCATGGATTCCCACTGCTCAGTAACTAGCTTAGCAGTTGTTGTGGAAACATTGCTGACTGACAATCATGAAAGTAAAATAACAAACGTGTTTTGTTCCCTGAAAGCGGCAAATGGTCAGTGCTGGACATTGCATCTGGCTGCTGCCATGTTTAACACCTTAATGACATCCCCATTCCCGAGTCTGCCGGAGCTGCTAGTGCTCCTACCTGGGCAGGCGCTGTTAAACGGTGCGTTGAACGCTTTGGAGGACAGCTCAGTTGCATTCTTCTCCAGATCCACTGTGAGTCGCTGCATCTTGATGCAAAAATATAAACTACAATGTACAATTATACAAAGACAGGGGAGCTTGTTAGAACTAGGCCATTTCTGAAAATCAGTGCTTCATCAATGCTGCACAACATCCCCCAGTAATGCGAGCTATCCTCCCTGCCCTGCCTTTTCTCTCATGCAATCCTTTTTAAAAGGGACCGCCCCTTGCTTCCAAGACTTGCTAATATTATCTCTCTCTTCAGAGACTCTCCTTCCTAACACTCAGGAAGTGGAATTACCTAGTAAATTCAAAATTATTAAATCGAAACCTAAAAAGGATAGTGATATCATGAAGAAGGCTTAGAGACCTTTCGCACTTCATTAGAATAGATGATACTTTGCTTGCACGTCTGTAGAGATGGCAGAACCATCCAAGTCTTTATCCAACCTGGCTGGCAGTGAGGGCTCTGAGAATTCACCCTCTGTCAAGCAGGAAAACACCCAGTCAGGAAACTCACTTTTCCTTCACTGTTATTAAATCACCATACGCACTCCAGAAACATCTGTGGCAATGTCAATTCCAAACAAATACCGTCAAACTGAATTTCTCCTTGTTTTTTCTGTACGGGTATACATGAACCTCTATTCTAATTGCATATGGTTTTACTGCTCCTGGAACGTACAGGGATGGCTGCACTTTATAAAGGCGTATTTTATACAGGGCTTTGGCAGAAAGACACTTTATGAATCTATGGTATTAGTAGGAAGTGACAGTCATGCCAAGAGAAAGTTTGGAGCAGCCAGCTTCAATCAGAGACTCCAGGACATCAACACGTCTCTAAAGAAGCTCTGCCTGAACGGGGGAGCCAGGTCACAGGTATGAGATAACACTCTCAGCCTACCCTCAGGAGATGCTTACGTGCTGGGCTTTCCCACACTCTCCCTCTGGCTATAAAATAAGTAAGCATTCTTCAGTTATGCACAAGCTCTACTTCATAATTACTGTATTATTAGTAGTAGTATTATTATCCTATCTCAGAAATACACATCTCTTACCGGGGACAGACTGGCTTCCATTTCAGTCAAGTTCCACTCACTCAAAGACAAATTGGGATTAAAGACCTGTTGGGAGAAAAAGACAATTAGGGCTCTGAAAGGCGTAATAGCTCGAGATACACGTATCCTCAGCCGTCTGCCTTGGCTGCCTGCTCGAGGTTGTAGTCCTGCTGGCAGAGATGCCGGAAAGCAACGCCCGCCCGTGCCTCGGCCGCTCTGACACATTAACCCAAGCTGCAGGGAAAGGCTCGTGTGTGTTGATGTGTAGCACAGCCAGCAAACAGCAAGGGCTGAGTCGTGGGCGCTTGTGCGGATCCGCACGCCTTGCTGCTTTCCAAGCGCAGACACCCGGTGCCACAGTCATGTCGTAAACCAGGGCAGCTCTTCGTGTCACTGCACATGCAAGTGAGAGCCCTTTTTTGCTGCTCTTGGGTCCCAGGACACTTCTAGATTCACATGGGTGTTTAAAAGCGCTCCAAAACACAGTAGCAGAGGGCAGACTGCTGCCGCATCAGTGTCTCGATGGCAATTTCTTGAGAAGTCTGAGCAATCTGGGAAAAGGAGCTGTTGATCTGGGGTACAGTTTTATGATTCATTCTCCCTCTTGTGACGTTCAGTTGCACAGAGAGAGAAAAGTGTGTCAGTAACAGGAAAACACCTCCTAGTGAGAAATAAGAAACAGAAACCAACGGAGCCAGTGACAGAGCAGCGGGCCATTAGAAAACCTTCCCATAAAGTCAAAATCAATCGCAGACACTTGGGAACTGGCTTTAAGAGAATAAGATTGATTTTTTTTAAATGATTTTTCATTCCTGTTTATCCATGCAAGTTTACTATGCGCCTGCATCTGAAGCACCTCCTCAAGGGAGCAGATCTTTGACATATAGATTCTTTTGCTACGTACAGAGTTATTTGATTATTGGCAAAAACCTTTCATAGACAAACCATATGTACAAGGAGAAAGAAAGAGAGAAAGGATCAAACCTTCATATTTCTGCATATATATTTAAGAAAAAAGCCACTATCCATTTCTAGAGAAAAGTGACCTGAGAACTGCAGACAAAGATCTCTGCAGAGAGAGAATCTGACATCGGCTACACTTCCCAGAACGTGAGGAAAAAGGGAAGGTAGTAGAGCTAAACACAATCTAGGAGTATCTAAGATGCAGAATATGCAAAAAATAAACCCACCCAAAGCAATTACCAAACTAGCCAGAGTCACATTAAACCTATTTTATGTACACGTGTTAGGTCTCACAACAGTGTCTTTACCAAACGCACTGTGTTTTGTGCTCCTGTAAGTTCAAATACGTATATTTTCAGAAGAAACGTAAAAAAGCATCACTTCAAGTCTGAAATCCTGCCAGTTCCTATGAGCAGGTCAAACCAGAGCTGTGACTCTATCGGCAGCACGTGACGGATAAAGCGCCGCACAAGAAGCGGCACCACGGTCTATCTGCTTTACAGCCCAAAGGTATCGCTGTGAGCTTCGCCACTGTTTCGCGCAGCCGCCCCGGCGGAGGGGCTGACACTCACATCCAGGAGGCTGGCGGGCTCCAGGCCGTACTGCTGGCTCCTCAGCAGCAGCTGCAGCCCTTCCAAGCTCCAGTCGGTGCCCTCCAACGGGTCTGAAATATCTGTTCTGAGAAAAGACGACAGAAATATCACCATGAATGAGACTTGCATAGGTACATACAGAAAGCAGGACTGAGCAGCCTTCCGATGCAAGGGTTATGTTTAAACCTCATTTAGAAAACCAAGAGCCCGCTGTCGGCCTGGGTTTATGCCATATCACTTGGTTTAACCCCAGAAGTACAACCCGGCAGAGCACAGAGGAGACTGGGCTGGCGGTAAAACAAGTGAGATGACTCCTCTCCTGGGTGACGCATGTGGTTTGGGGATGGACAGTCTGTGCACATCTCTTCAAGACCGGGAAAATTAAAGCTTTCCTTGGACGAAATCCTTCTAGAGAGGCACTTGGGATTCAGAATAGGCTGCATTCCCATCCTCCTGGGTCCCAGGCAGCGGAATTACTATTAACTAATGGCTTTTAAAGGAGGGAGTTTTACCTGCAGGCACTCAGCCTGCAGGCTGCATTTACCCAAGCCATTCAGCTAAAGGAACAACTGTGAGGCCCTGCTGTGTTTTATAGCCCCCAAAAGCTATAAAAAATTATTCTTAAAATCCAGGGTCTTTAAAAGAGAATGTTTTTTCTTCTAATAAACTGTTTTAAAGTAGCCAGTGGGGTTGAGAAGGAGGAATTTGGTTCTCTGTAAGGACCCAAAGGAAAATAGAAGCCTTTCTGATAACTCTATGGAGTGTGGGGTTTTTTCCCCCCAGCTGTCCTCACATTGCTGCAGTTGCCATAAAAAATGAATTCTGCAGTTAACTTCTACTTCATCCACCAAGTTGCAACCATGCTTTCTTGGTGAAGTCTACTGCACACTCATCCCTAACGCTGGTGCTGTCGGGATGCCAGTCTCAGCCCACGGCAGAGCACAGCTCCAGAAGCGGCTCACCCGGATTGCTCTGTGGCCGAGCCTAATGACACTGTCCTAATGCCCCTTGCAAGAGGGCATCATTCTCTGGGTGACTGTCACACGCAGGACACTTGCATGCCCTGGCTTCAAAATAATGAAACCTCAACGCCCTTGTTACAGACTTCTGAACACAAACTCCCAACTCTCCATCCCTGTGAGTGACCTCACTTGCTATTGCATGATTTTAAGGCATGATTTTTTTAGCTTTTTATACAGCCTTGGACTGCCTAGCATTATACTGAGCCCCTCCAGTTCAAGCAGACAAGCACAGCAAGACAGCTCAGTTTCGTGGGTTTTCGCTCTTAGTCAGAGATGAGGAAGCCGAGATGTCTTGCAGTGTCAGCTCCCCGGTACCTCCCCAGAAGCATGTGGCCCCTGTGATGGTGACAGAGCGACTGGCGGCCCCCTGAAGACAGCTCTAGCACTGACTCAGGAAAGACACCTTGGAAAGGTGATAGGAGTAGATGCGAAGGGAGAACAAACTAAAGAGAAAAGTCTATTTGACTTGACAGCACAGGAGAGGAAAAGAAAGGAGGCAAATTATTTCCTTCTCAAGCCCAAGCCTGGGGCTGATAAATGCTTTGATGTCTTATCAAATATGTGTCCTACTTAGTGCAGAGGTTATGACGATGATTGACCGTCATCTTCCATCACTGTGTATTGGCACACAAGTGACACCTTATTCACTGCACAGAAACACCAGTGACAAGTATTTCCTTATGACTTTACGTAACAGAAGACCCAACAAAACAAATGACAGACAGCACACAAGCTACTGGAGGTGTAGCTTGTCCGCAGACCTGGGTGTTGGTCTGGGCTCCAGCTTTCACTTGGACCATGGGCAAATCCCTCTCACTGCAAAAACCTTCTTCCTGCTCCCACGGCTCTGATGCACATGGTCTGACAGCTCCTCCTCTGCTGGGGCCTTCAAGCAAGTCATCCACAGACCCCCAGCCCTGTGAACTGTCCCCTGGGCTTCAAGGGTCCCCTGAGCAGGTGCCACAGGTACGGGATGGAGCTCACCAGGCTGCGTTAGGTGACTTAAAGTTGGCTTCCCTTCCCCCTGGCTAATGGGAAGAGAGGGCCATGAAACACGCAGGGCCACAGCTCTCCCTCGCTCCCCTCACCTGTCCAGCAATGCCCTTCTGCCTCTTCTCTCGGATGGTTGTGAGGTCCCCAGTGGGGCTGCACCACAGCTCCCTTTGCCTTCCAAAACAGACTGAACCATGGCAACCGGGAGCACAGGGGGCTCAGAGCAAGCCCGGCAGCCTGGCAGGGGGACGTCAGGCTCAGCGGCGGCTTTCACTCCAGGGCTGACCGGCTCTTCCTTGATCAGCATGAGGCACTTCTCTCTGTATCAGAGATAAGAGTTAGCACCACACACACATCTGCTCCACAAAGGCCTTGCACTACTGGGAAGGGCAACAGCACAAGGGCTTGCTTCCACTTCCCATCAAACTGCTCCACAGAGTCTTTCCATTCCCCTAGAAGGGCAAAAGAAACCAGGAAACTTGGTTTCTTTTCAGCAAGCTTCAGAAACATACTCAGCTGGAGTATCTTTAGTCACTTCATCAGTCATAGCTGTAATGAATTTGCTCCATTTGATTGTTTTGCAAATATGGAAAATACACTTCCACGTGTTCATCGTTCCTCAGATAAGTGTTACACTTGAGACAGGTTAAAGGGTCACTAGGGTAGACAGGCTCCCCTGAAAAAAGAAAAGTCTCCACCCTAGAGATAGCAGTGGGATCAGTAAGACCTTCCCATGCTGAAATTAGGGCCGGACCAGCAAGCACTCTACAGATCCCAATGACACAGGTCAGGATCTTGTGGCTCTGCAGGATTTGGAACAGAAGCGAACAAGATCTGACAGTCCAAGTCAGATATTTTACTTCTTTGGAAGCAGAGGTTTGCCTTTTTCCAGAGGGAGAGGCACTCCATGTTATTCCTAGACGGACATATGACATTGAGGTTTTGAATAGTACCATTTTGTATGTAAAACTCTACTCTTCACTACTTACAGGAGACTTTACAGCTCCCTGTGAAACCGCACAACTGGAGCCAAAGTGACAAAGGCATGTAGAGCAACAGGCACGGGGCATGGAAAGCCACACTGAAAAAATACCATCTTACAACACTAACAGACTAGCTTTGCTGCAAGACAACACACGAGCGTGTCACACACACGGGATGATGGTATGTGACACTACTGAATCTTCCTCTGCGTTCCTTTCGGATCGTCTTCTCATCTCCTGAATCCTAAACTCCCACCAGAAGCTCATGTTGCTTTAGGAAGCACCACACTCCCGAACTCATTAGGACCATGGCTGGCTCAGATTCTCACGTCATGCAGACACAGCATAGAACAGAGGCCACCAGATGGCACTCAGTAATTAGTAGAAGTAAGCAACTTAACTTGAAGGTTATACTAAATTTTTTCTGCTTTAGAAATGGCTTCCAGGTTGGTTGTTTTTTGGTTTTGTTTTGTTGTTTTTTTTAATCTGGAGCTCTTTACCTTCTTCTAGCTAATTTTATGGCTACGGTTTAAATTATTAGGCAGATTTACAGGCAATTTCTAGAGTCTGCCTTGCCTCTATGCCTGAGAAACTGTTTCCATGATTCATCTGTCTACTTACTTTCCACTGACATAGTTGTAGCTATTCTGCTACGAGCCCTAAATACACTGCATGTCTGTGGCAGGAAGAGATAAGCATTAAAATATCTCTGCATTCAGTTCTTAAGTTACTGGGACCTTTTCACAGAAAAGTTGTCAAACATCGGAAGTTGTTGTGATGCAACCTTTCTGTTCTCATTAGCGGAAAGATGTACAGTTTGATTCTATTTCGTCTTTGTCAAAGCCAAAAGGAAACGTCCTTTCTCTCAAGAAACACAACAAGTGTTAGTATCTTATTATTTGATAAAGTCTGAGACAGCCCCTGTCTTGAGAACAAAACATAAGGAAACATGCAATACTCCTCAAAGAGGTGAGTGGAAGTCCTCAGCATGAAACTCATGACTTTGTTTTGAAAGTTATGCTGTTATTATCCCTCCCTAATTCTGAAAATCTGACCCACATTGCAAACTGGAAAGAAATATTCCAGCCCACCATCTCTATAGAGATTTGCGAATCAGACAGAAACTTTGGTAGAATTACAGCCAGGAAAAACTCTTTTGAAGTTATGCATGTCCATACCCAACTCTCCCTGGTTTTAATCCCAAATATGTTTACCTGTCATTGTCAGGAGGTGATTGCGTATTTATTACGTTGGATGGTGATGCTTCAGTAACATCAGATATGATGGGCCCTCCCACAATTGCAGGGCTGTTTAAGCAAGAGGCAGGTTCTGTCGATGGCTAAGAGGAAAGCAAAAAATCATAAAGATTTATCCTTCTGAGGACCAGAACAAGTCCAAGGTCCTATCTGAGATACAGTTTACTCACTGTGCCCTTGAGTCCTCCTTGCATGGAAACCAAGCAAGTTTTTACCTGCTATGCAACGGGGTCTGCCTTTCCCTCCCACGACCCATGGCCTCCCACATGCCCCTCTCCCTGAAACAGAGGAGCTGAAGAAATAATCACTCACCTTTGCAAACCTCTTCTCCACTGCCAAACTCTTGCCAAACTACTTACTCCGTAATCTGTACTATTGCTTCAAACATTTTTCCACGCTGGCTAAAGAAATCCCACAAAGCTCAGAGGTTGGCGTAAACCTACCGACTGTATGAAATAGGGGTCATGGAGGGGGTCCGTAGACAAATGCCGGCTGAACTTGGACACTGGCGGAGCTGAGATCCCGTTGTCAAGCATCAGAGGTCTGTGAAGAGAAACTGGTTTGTTTTCCCAGCATGTACTGACTGGTTCTGGTTGCTCATACACGAAATGTCTCTCGGCCAAGGGTTGTTTTCCCCTGGGTACTCTGTTTTTCCTCAGCTGTAAGCTACTGTCTTGTCCAGTGGTACAGACAAGGAAGGGAAACAACAGTTTTAAAGGAGGTCACCATTAAAAAAGGGCATTAGCTGTACAGATGATCTGAGTTTTCTAGATTTTATTTGAAAGATGCAAGTAAAATAACAAATTCAATTTATATTGTGAATTGAACAAATTCAATTCATATTTTCTTCTAATTGCTAGTGGTTTCAAGCTCCAGGCTAGATCCTCAGCTTGTTTAACTGGAGGCAGCCACGCTGAAATTATTTGTGCAATACTGGAATGTGCCATCATTACCAGCTCCCTTGCACTCAGGGCGTCTTTGGCAAAGCTACATCTCAGCGTAGCACCGCATAAAAGGAACCTGTGCCATTCGGTAAGTAATAAAACAGGTGGAGACACAATGCAGAGCAGAGCCTATACTTATTGCATACAAACCTTTGAAAAAATGACCGACAGGCTCTTACAGACGGCGACTGACAACAAGGAGTGGGTCTGCATGCTGGGTCCTGTAGCAGGAGTGCTTTATGCTTACGAAATGATTGAAATCAAGCGAAAATGGGAAGAAGCCTCAAAACAGCACCACCATGAAACTTCCTGGGTGGCAGCCCTTGGTTTTGCGATACAGTCCCAGAGAAGCTGGGAACTGGCATATTTTGCTACACACCCACTATTGTTAATGCTGTGATGATCCTATAAAACTGCCCAGCAAATCCCTTTTCTCCTCCCACTGCCCCGCAGTCAGGAAAAGCATCTTCAGCGTTCATTTAGAAGACAGTGATTTGGCTGAGGGAACCAGGGAAAGCCAACCGTTTTTTTCCACAGTAGTATCTAACAGGCTTGACAGAAGATAATTCCTAGCTCCCTTCATCCTACAGACACTGGCGGTGGATACGCTGGGAGAAATTATGGGTTTGCTCCAACCTCAATTAGCTCCCACAGTGTAGGGCATGATACAGCAGGACACAGTGGCCACAGTGCTTGAGATCTCGGTGCTGGCTAACAGCTTGTTTAACAGCCTTTTTCTGTTCTGTGACATTAATTAAAGACCCAGAATAAAAAAGAACATTTGAATCACCCTGATATGGACCTTGTTATGGCATAAGCTACCCTTCAGTACACACTGAGATATCCTAGCTAGCCCTGCAACAATTCTGAATTTGTGGCTCCAGAAGCCACAAATGAACCTCCCCATCCAACATTTCTTATCACAGTAACTTTGGTGCCTAACCCATCTAAAAGCGCCCCAGGTCAGCCGTGCCCGTGGGACCTACAGACGTGCCCATCCTGTCCAAACCTACCCAGAGCCCCCAGTTGCTCCAGGCTGTACACTATGCGTTCCTGCAGTCATTTAAAAGAGAGACAGGAAAACAAAACTGTGAAAGATAGAAGGGCAGCTATGGACACAAGGCTCTTGAGGTTCCTTGAACACAGATTTTCATGTTTCCAAGGAAGCAGAAACTCAAATTAACATGCACAATACTGTGCAAACTGCAGCTGAGTTTTATCAGTGTGATCCCTCTTCTTAAGGAGGCCACCACAGTTGCTGTGCAGACAGCTTTGTGCTCTTCTGCCCCTTGCAGCACAGTTTCTCACTAATGATTTGCTTTTTTCAAAAAGCAGTGGTCCGTGACAACATTTCTTGGGCTGCAAAGCTTTTACAGGGAGGGCATGGCCCCAACCGTGGAAATTAGAGGTCAGATCTGGCATCTCATTTCTCTGCTTCCCCACTCCACTGGAGGAAAATTTCCCCATTCGTGAACCTCAGCGACTCAAAGCAGCTGATACCCTCCCCTTGAGCCCTCCCTCTTTGCTACCACTCTCCGTGCAGTGTTTATCCCTTCCAAGAGGCTCAGCAGAGAGGGTAGGCAGAGGTAAGAGTACCCAGCTTGCTTGTCCAGGTTATGGGCTCCTTCATTCAGTCCTGTGTTGCCTTTACAATCCTCACAAGAAGAGCCAGTTAAGAACAAGGACACTGACTTAAAGAAAATCACCACCCCCCCCCCCCCCCCGAGCAGCCATTCTTGGGCAGTCTGACTCCTTTGAGGCACAGAGAAGTTTCTGAGTTGCCAAAGGCCACGAGGCAATAAAGGTGGGAATTGGAGGCAGGTCCCTGCCCTCAGCCTGAGCCACAAAGGCAAATTCGTCATAGGAGCCCCTCTCCCTTCTTTAGATCACAAGCACCACAGAGCAAGAAACGCATGGCTGCTCTCCTGGAAGGCACTAAGCTTCCTAATTCAATCATCTCCTCTATTCACTTGCCTTGAGGAGCTTATTTATGACTCTAAAGATACCTCTTGGCTAAAATCTTCCTCCACCTTCCTCTCTGTAAAGCCTGCACGTTACATGCCACCAAACCTGCGCTGGATACACACCTCGTTCAGTGACCATGGGCCAAACTAAAGGTGTCCGTGGGCTCCCACTGATGACAAGTGGCAAAACTGGCACCTGTAGGACCAGCAGTGGGGTCCTGCCGTTTACCCTCCCACTAGTTAGTGTTCCCATCTCCCATCTCACTCTGTATTCCCCAAATAAAGGTCACGAGCTGACACGGTGCTTCTCTAAAGACCACTGAATGGGGCATGTCAGCAGGTCTGACTCGGCAGTTCAGCCCATTCATTTCCCATCACCATGGTGCCCTGGTCCGGTGACCGCCTGCCTGGGCAAGCTGAGCTTGTGTTTTTAGTGAGGGGGCAGCATTATGCACCCGTGAGCGTGTGCGCACCACACAAGGGTACTTACAGCTTCCTCTTTATCCCAGTGCTGCTAGGGCTTGATTGGAGCTGGCCAAACAGAAACTGAATCAGCTGTCAGGAGAGATCAAAATCCGGTGTTAATCAGCAGAGTGATTCAGCACTCCCTGCTCTCGCAGCCATTCTTATCTCACACATTCCTCCCTCACAACACCAAAGCTGGGAGCAGCCATGAAATATGGGAGCCAAATTGCATGAGCCATCGGAGCCTGAAACGGCACTAAGCTTTCCAAGAACTCAGAGGACCTGCCCGGCTTTCCAGAAGCCCAGCCAGGTGCCTGCTTTGTGCGAAGGCTGCTAGATGCACGTGCTCAGCGTTTTCTCTCTCCACTTCTGTGCACGCAGAACTCCAGCTAGCCCTGTTAGACTTGGAAATCTGCCTGTGAAGTACACATGCGAACATTCCTAGGCCTGGAGTTAGACTTGGCCTCCATAAAAGTCTTTAGAGACCTTTGTAAAAGGCTCTATAAAGTCTGACAAAGACTTTGCAAGTGGAAGAGGCAACCCCCTAGGGGAGACCCTGGATGGAGGTCTCAGCTCTTTCAAACTGAGTTTTTCAGCCCTGTGGTACTCAGTGTTGGTAAAACAGGACACTAAAAAGCAAGCAGAATGGCTTTGGAGAGGAATCACTTAGCAACATATTCCCAGGTCAGCCTAATGCTCTGCTTTGACCTCCAAACAAAGAGAGTGTTATTATTATATACCACAGCTGTCTCTTACTCATTGCTCAATATAACAAAGTAGAGTCGCATAAATGCCTCTACAATGAGTGGTGTGGCTGGTCCAGCCTCCGAGCTGGAGGAAGTTTTGACAGCCCCGTGCATTTCTATCCAGTCCTGTGACTCTGTGATGCCACGTGAGGGTCAGAACGTGGCTCGCAGGGGGACTGGGAAATGTGACATGCTCAGTCACGTCAGCACCATCCGGGAATCACTGCAGAGGCCTTTTCTAGTACAGGTCATGCTAGATTTTAAGGGAGATGGCTCCGCAGTGCTCTTTCAGTCTAAAAGGTTGTACAGTAATTCCTCGACTATAGCAGTAACACCAGAAAACCCAACAGTTGCTGGAGGTCCCCTCTGGTGGAATGGCTGGCCAATTCTGCTGCCTGCAGCTTCAGTGGTGGCAGGAGGGGGAGGCTCCTCTCTTGTACAAAGGAAAGAGGAAAGATTTGGGGAGCCCAAGGGCATCGGTACAACCAGAACACAGCCAATACAGGGCACTTACTGAGAGCTGTGCTCTCTTGCTCAGGACTTTGACAGAAAAGTGGTTTCTAACATCACAGCAAGGACTGGCAGGGAATTTAAAATCTTTTGCTCGAGGGCATAATCTATGCTGTGTTAATGACCACTTTCCACAGGACACAGAGGAACGTAACACGTTTGAAAGAGAAGGAAAATAAATACACTGTAATATCAGAGTGGAGAAAATTATGTGACAAGAAAAATCAGAGGAGGACATACACCATGCAGTACAAGTGAGTTTCTACCTTGTTGATCACTTTCTGTTGCTGCGAGTGGTTCTGCCGGAGAGAAACAACTTCCCGCCAAAGAACTTCATTTTGCCTGAAAGTGAAACAGAAACTTTCTGTGAGCACAGAAACATCCCAACAGCCCATGGTGCTGCTGTGAGGCACAGAATCACAGAATGGTAGGGGTTGGAAGGGACTTCTGGAGATTATCTAGTCCAATCCCCCTGATAGATCAGGTTCATCTAGAGCAGGTAGACCCAACTGTGCAAGTCTGTCTCACTTTGGGGCTCTTGCAGTGCTTGGCTCTTTTCAGGTGTCCCAAATGGGGTCACACACTTCCTTTCCTTGTTTTTCATCAACCTCAGAATAACTACAGACCAAAGCTTGGAGGAGAAACAAATAAAGAGAAACCAACATTTATAGGTGAAGGTAACAAGAGGACACGTGTGTTTAGTTTTTGTGGAACATTTGGGCCAAACTCAGAATTTGAGCAAGGCCTGATTTGTGACTTTGAATGAATTGAATCGCCAAGACTGTTCTTTCTGCAGAGACAAGAAAGCCCAACCTCTCCACAACTGTCCCCAAAGACCAAGAGAGATCTTATGGGCAGAGATCCTATGTACTCTGCCTGCTGAAACCTCATACATGTGATGGTACAAAGGCATGTTTGGGAGTGACTGGAGCAGCCAAAGCGATGCTTCTGCATCCAAGAGCCTCGAACTAGGAGGACTGTAATTATTTCATTAATGGGAGTCACTGATTTCATCCAGCAAAGACCTGTGTCCAGCTTGCAATTGCATAGAGCATATTTGTTTTCTGTCTGCAAATGCAGCACACAGGGGAGTTACAGGCTTCCTTGAACAGTCAGCCCCAGAAAACGGGATGGGGAGATGCAGAGTTTATTTTGCTGCGCTGCCTCCAAGCCTGGATGCCAGCCAAGTCCATGCTGGAAAAGGTTTCACCAGTGAATTTATCTCAAGAGTATATGGATGCACCAAAACCAACAGGCCAGCAAAACCGCTCATACAGGTGAAATTTATAAATCCTTTTGCTACATATCCCTTAGGTGGTTTTAGTCCTGTCTGGTGTGGATTTGATGACAGAACTGGGAAGATAAGGTCCAGAGCTTGAAAGAGCATGGTAGCTCTTGCTTCAGCAAGAATCTCTGCGGTGAACTTTCTGCTCTGGTACTGACAGGACTTTCAGCAAAGCAGCTTTCTCCTTCGTCTGACAGCTGGCACTGGAGTTATGTCCTCACGGTTCTTCACCAGAGTAAATTTCCTAACATAGTTTCAACCTGGGATTTCTGGTCTTAAGTTTATAAAAAGTTGTATTCTTTTCATCAGTTGAATGCAATTTTGCCTTTTGCCTGCTGGAGGAAGGGAGCCACCAAATCAAAAGGGAGAATAAACTAGAAGCAAGGACAAATCATCAATAGTGGAATTCTTTATAACTTAAATAAGATACAAGCCTAGAAACTCTTTCATTGCCACTGTACCTGGATTTCATGGCATGATTTCATGCATGTGCTAAGTGTGGGAGTCATTAAAAATTGAGGTAGGATAAACATATTTATCTGTTGGATGTAAGATGCTGGGCTGGAATGAAGTTGCACAGTATATGATGTTCTCTCAAGGCCCGGGATGCCAGCGTCATCTGGTGATGTATGAGTATCAGCTTTCATTATAAAAGAAGGTTTTGGGGTCTTTTTGATTAGTCAAGTGCTTTTAAAACAAAGTTCTCTGCAAGGATTAAAATTCTGGAAGCAAATAAAACCCTCTCCAAGTACGTGATTTATAAAACCGTATCCATTTACTAAATTCCTAGTGACCACGTCTGACTCAGAAAGTCCCGGAGTCTCAGACAGCTGGAGGTCAGGCAGGCACATGCAAGAAGCATTGCATGTGCTTGTTTTGCTCTTATACAACAATTTTGGCCACATCAGAAGACACACTCTTCAGAGAGATGGGTCCATGGGCTAAACACTACAGACCAGTTCTGCTGGTCTTAAATGTTTTAGGCCAGTCATATATTTTGGAGGTGGAGGATGACAGATATATTTTTTATATTTTTTTAATAGTTGGAGTGGACACCACCATGTTTCTGCCAAGGACTTTTCTACGTGTGAGAAAGATTTACATCTTTACCATCATTTTTATCTGGAGGAAACACAGTTATCCAAGTTAAATCCTCAGGTTATACACATATTTCCTACACGGCCTCCTCTGTGCTTTCCTCATCTGTAAAAAGGGAAATCATAAATTAAGAGAAGATGTCTACCTTTCACTGAAGACAGAGAGGCTGAGCATTAATTCATATTTTATAGATGATCGGGTCTGCGTAGAAATCCTAGATGTTATTGTCTCAACAGATCTAGTTAGTCCCTGTGCTTAGTCCCTGGCTCAGCATGTGCTCCCTGGGGAGGGAGGTGTGTAAGGCTCCTCCTTCCAAATATTCCCCAAGATCTACAACTCTAGAGAAGCAAATGCCCGTAAGAAGCAGCCCGAGTAGGATCCAACTCACTGCTTCATGTCCTGCACTTGACACTCCATGTTCTCCTGCTGACTTCTCAGTATCTGTACCTCGTATAGCAACCTGCTGAGGTCCTCCTGGCGCATCTTGGTCTCCTCACTTTTCACTACCGACACCTGAGGAGGAAAAATCAAAGATGAATTTTACCAATGCAAGAAGGGCCACGGACAGTGTCGTTGCCATGGCTCTGGTGCAGGACTTCCACCAGCCGGGCTCTGACATGCAGAAATACTAGGACAGGTGATGTGCACAACAGTCTGAACTATCCTTAGGGTATTATTGCAAGGGCCAAAAGGGTAAAACAGAGTGAAGAGCAGGACAAATCCTTTCATATAGAGGATCTGCTGGCAGCAGAGTGGGGACTTATTTCAAATCAGCTTAGGAAAAAAAAAAAAGTATTTTGAGGACCAGGGAGGAATTGAACTAAGTTGTTTGATTAAATCTTTCTACTTTAACTACAGAGAGACCCAATCCAGCCTCGTGTTTTACAGGGATGAACCTGAGGTAATGCTTCTAATTGACGTATTAGACCTGGATTTCCAGAAGGCTTTTGCTGAAGTCCCTTTTCTGAAGTCGCTATGCTAATTTGGTAAGAGAACAGCCCTTTTTGGGCATCAATGATAGGTTAAAAGACACCAGAGAGAGGGCAGGAATAGGTTCTCTCTTCTGTAATACCAGATGATGACTGTTGGGAGACCCAGTGGGAGTTATGCCGTACTTTTCTAGAAAAGCGGGTAACGATTCAAAAGCAGAGCGGTGTGAAGCAAGCCTGGGCATGCAGCACTACATGAAGGTCTCATGATATTGAGCGACAGAGCAAAAAAAACAGAGTCCAAATTCTGATGAAAGCCAATCCCTCCATGCCGAAGACCCCTGCTCCAACCGTCCACGTATACGGAGAGGACAGAAACCAGACCACAGGGTGATCTTGGAGTTATGCTGAACGGTCTATAGCATGGTGGCCTGTGGTCTGAAAGCAAACAAGCATTTTGGGACTTATCAAGAGACCCTCACAATGATCATGGAGTGCTGTTCTGGTCAATCCACCCCCAAAAAAGAGACACAGGAGGGTTAGAACGGGACAGGGCAGGCAGCCATGGCGGCAGGCACAGAAGGGCTCCTGTTCGGGGAGAAACAAGGCATTTCCTGCTTGAGAGGCCCAAGGGACAGGAAACAAGTATTCATTACTTCTCTCCCAGCAGAAGGCCCAGGGGAAAACAAATTAAATAAAGAGACAGCAGGCTTAAAGCAAACCAAGGCAGCTATATCTCCACACAGACCATTAGTTAAGTTTTGGGATGTATTGTTGAGGGATGTTTTGGAAAAGCACCACATAGCTTCTCCATACCGGTGGTGTGGAACCTTCTGGAACAGGAGTCTGCTGCGTCTCAGCCTTCCCGCCTTGCCTCAGCCTTCCCGCCTTGCCTCAGCCTTCCCGCCTAGCCTTAGCCTGCCCTCCCGCCTCAGCCTTCCCGCCTCAGCCTCCCCTCCTCAGCCTC